TTGCCTAAGCACCTGGCTCACCAATGTAAAAGGCTGAGCTTCATGGCTCTATACTAGTCAAGCCCCTTTTGCCCTCTAAAAGAGGTGGCAACAGGCAGATTTTCCACAGTGCACATTTCCTTTCTGACAAAATCTCTTCCCTCTCATCTGGAGGAGCAATATGGTTTTAAACAAAGTTGAAAACCTTGCTGTATGCCTCTATAACTTGGTTAGTTTATCCTTCAAAATACCTAACTAATCACAAGAAAGTCTATTTTATAAGATATTTGAAAATTATTTCTTCTTTCATTTTCCTTCTGGGACCTGAGGTCAGAGTTATTTGTTTTTCTTGCAAGAATTAATAATAGCATTGATACCTGCATGAATTGCACTCTGCTCTGTTTAGTTGTTTGTAATATCTGCAGGTGCTGCAGAAAAAACATAAAAATGCTGCGTTCAGGTCCTGGCTAATAGTAAACCAAATAATTTTCAGATATATTTGCTGTTTTAAACCTTTTCTGTTAGGGCCTAATTCAAAATATACTGAAGTCATCGAAAAACCCATTGACTTCAGTGGGCTTTGTTAGGTCATAAATAATTAGGTTCCAAAATGTAGTTTTGGATCATGTCATTTCTAAAGATCCATAGACTTACTGTGCAGAGGTAAAAGCTATGCCTAAGATTTTCAAACCTAATTTCCAAACCAGGGATCTACATGAGAATGGTCTGAATTTCAAAGTTGCTAAGCATGTGCAGCTCCTATTAATTTCAATGAGATATCTGAGTTCTTAGCACTCCTGAAAAACAGGACCACTCATATTTTAGTGGGAAAATATGGGTTTAGACAGGCACTTATGGCACCTATACATGTGCCCGAAGCTGGCACTTATGCGTGCTAATCAGCATGCATCAGAGCAGACTTGATTAAGTTAATTAGCTCACTCCAACAGCCTTGATGTTGTATGTATTCAGCATCCTTGTGCTTCAAAATGGCAGCAGGGAGCTTTAACTAAAGCCCCTGCTTCCCCTTTGAAGCACGGGATGCTGAATACATGAGAAGCTCCGAAAATCAGCTCTAAGTAAAGTACACCCCCTTTCCATCCCTGAACACATGTAAAGACACCCATAGCTTTGAAAATTTTGACCCAGTGCATTTATTCCTTAGTTTGACATCATATGCACCATTTTTAGGGATGTCCTTTGTTGTGTGTCGGAAATCCTTTTTCTGGTATCAACTCCATATAGAATATATTTTGTCCATTTGTTTTTTAAGAAATGTAAGCATGTACTACGATGCAAATCTGTAATTGCTGCCTGTGTATACTTTTTGCACAACAAATGAACATTGTGGTTTTAATCCATCAGACATGAACATTCTGAATTTTTCATAAAATGAAAAATAAGTTCCCACTCTTTGCATCACTCTTATCTCTTTTAACATCATCTTTTCAGGAGCCCCTCCCACTGAATAGAAAATCTGAATAGTTACACTTTTAAAACTTTAATCATAGCTAAGAATGAGGCATGGCTTTCTTTATTACTTAATGTTTTGGCCAGGAAAAGAAATTGCATGTATTAAAACACCCTTATGAAATATTAGAAATAATAGAAATGTGCACAAATGTGTTAACTTTGCTTGAAAGTCTCAGGGAAGAGTTCAGAGGGTTTAGGAAGAGAACAGTTAATGGCAGGCTAATTAGAGAACTGTATTTTCTGATGACATTTATTACTCTTTCTGATGAAAGCTTTGGTTTCTGATCTTTGCCTGACAGGCTGCCAGTGTGATGTTGGAGGCTCTGTCAGTCCTATGTGCAGTGAGCCATCGGGTGCTTGCCAGTGCAGAAAGCACATAGTGGGGCTGGCCTGTCAAGAGTAAGTCTAGCTGTGATGATTAGTTTGTGTCAAAAAAAAAATTAAAACTGTCTGGGGCATTCCATGCTCTCTCTTTGGACATGATCATGAAGTTGTTGATATATGAGCCAGTGAGTTACAGTATTAACTACTTTACTGTTTTGTTGGTTGTTTTTTTTTTTTAGCCCACCAGTTTTGTTTTAACTTATGTACATTTTAATAATCATGCAGTTAACAATTCCATCTTTTGTAGTAAGATATTGGGTGTTATTTCGAAAGAAAACAAAATGAGCAAAGGTTGCTTCTCCATTATACCAGTTAAATTTAACGGAGAACAAGTTTTAATTTATTAATAGAAACATTGTAAATCCTTCCTGTGATCATAACCTGAATTATCAGGACTTCATTTTAAGCCCTTAACTCCGAGCTTCATTTTATCATACAAAGGTCAGATAGAAATTAGATGATGTCTTCAAATTGCTTTGGAAGGTGAAGATTTTTTCTATTCTGCATAGCAACATACCTCTTAGATATGGAGGTGATATCTCAGTGACAAACTGCAAATAAACTGGTGCCATAAATGTATAATGCATTTTTGACTTACATGATGATGTTATTAAAACTGACATCAGAATGAATTTGTGTCTTTTTATGTACTAAGTAACTGAGTGACAAATACATTTGGCAAATAACCTAAAATACAGTTAGTTCCAAAATGAATATTTGAGAGACAATCAGAAATTGCAATTATATTTTTATTAGTATGATGGCTAACAGTGAGGGCATTAATTTTCTTTGGTAAGCACAAACCTAAACACTCAGGGAAACTAAATAGATCACATATGGGTTTTTTTTCTTCTTGAAAGGCCTGAAAAGAATTACTTTTTCCCTGATCTACACCACATGAAGTTTGAGATTGAAGATGGTACCACTCTTAATGGAAGAGGAATTCGGTTTGGTTATGACCCTCAGGAATTTCCCAACTTCAGCTGGAGAGGTTATGCATGGATGTCTTCTATACAAGTATGTCATTGACTAAATGCTACTGAGTACAAAAGCAGCCTTTGGAGTTTGTTGTCTTAGTATTTCTCTTTGAGTGTGATATCATTGGAAGATTTAAAAATACATGATTCCCATACATCATCACAAAAACCTCCCAGGAACCTTGCTTGCAGTGGGTGAGGAACAGAAAAATATATATTTCAGCAAGATGGATGCAATTGCAAAGCAGTAGTATGGTCAACAGATTGTTGGCAAAAGCAACAGCATCCAAGCAAAAGCATGAGTGGGTGCATATGTTTCTGTCTTGTAATGTTTTACAAGCTTGTTGGTCAACAGCAGAGAGAGATAGTTGAGAAAATGAAATGAAGAAAGAATATATCCTTTGACATTGTGTTTAGGGCAGAAGATAGAACATTGCAACTGAATTATGGAGCAAAGAAACTCTGAATTACAAAATAGCTTATTTGAGGAATAAGGGCTGGCTGGTCAGTCACTGTTCTTGAATGTGTTCCTATGGTATCAAAGTGGTGCAAATTAGATTTGCCAGTTCCTGGAACTTCTGATGACTGGAAACCAGCTGGGCATCAATAAACTAAGGGACAAGTACATAATGAGAAGTTTAGCCATTTCATTTCTGCTCTTAATTTTTCAATCTTTTCTTTGTTCCTTTTTCCATCTTTGGGGGTCTTTTGGTTTACTTTGCTTTACATATTCACAAAGAAAGCTGTTTTTCGAAGATGTGATTTCTTCACTTCCACTCTGAATTTTCATCTGTGTTTCACAAGCTTTTCCTCACCCATCTTGTGTTTCACACACTTAACATTTTATGAAGAAGGTAGTGGAATGAAGGAATGGTAGTGTGTTCATAACTTGACTTACATATGTAAATACAGGTAAGTATTTGCAGGATCTGCACTCCAGATAGTTGGATAGCTGAACTATTCCATCTCTTTAATTCAACAGCCATTCTAAATTTTGACAAGTTTTCCATGTCTTGCAGGACATTGAAACATTCATCTTGAAATTTCTTCAGGGATGACAGTCACAGTGCTTCCCTTGATGTACTAATGTAACAGTTTTTTTCTTGAAGAAGACAATATAAACGATTGCATGTTGTTCAGATGAAATAACTAGTCAGTGTGTGACCTCAGTGGGAACTATAGGTGCTATTAATATAATTGCTTAAATTTTGAGCCAAGGACATAAAATTAGGCACTCACATTTTAAAGTGGTGGTTTGAGTGACTTGGCTAAGCCTGTAGCAAAGCTTGAAGAACTATCAATCGTCTCCCTTCAAAAAATAATTGTAAAAGGTTCCTGCCTTTGTCCATATTTTCTATTGAACTCTTTTCTCTGCCCTAGTACCCTTCTACTATATGCTGTACTTCAAATATACATGGCAAGTGTATAACTTTCCCATCTCTATCTACAATTCCACTCTTGCTTTCCTTTTCTTAATAAAAGAAAGGGGCTCTATAAAAATACTCGTCCTCTCCAGTGACGACAGATTTTAAAAACATGCACCAAATACACCATAAAAAGCCTCTTCTGTGGGCATTTGCTTTGAACTAACTCTCAGAGAGCCGAAAAGGTGAAATCTTCAAAGGGATAAGCTCCCCTGGACTTTGGTCTGAGAGGCAGGGAATGAGAAGGGAGTGTGTCTTTGAGAGAATTAATGTTTTAGAGAGAGGTGTGTGGAGCGGGAGGGAATAGGCATGTGACATACTGAGCAAGAGTGGGTTACGAGGGATTGGTTATGAAGAGAGGAGTGGTAGAGTGGAACAAGGGAAGGCAAATCCTTGAGGTTGTTGCAATTTTTCTCTTTTGATACCCCACCAAAAATCCCTGAATGCTTACCATCAGGAAGTTGGTAGTAATTTGAATCTGAATCGAATACGGCCTGTGTCACACACTCCTAGTAAACATGTTACTTTGTGCATGGTAGCCTCTGTTGTATTGCAAAAACCCAAATGAGTTTCCCTGGAGGGGGCTGATATTTGTAACGTTTATCTGCATTCCTAAGGAATGCTTATCTGAGTTCCTAAAGACTGTTTATTCCTAAAAGCAACGCTGTATATACACCTTAATTAATACTATTTAAATTGCCTAATTCGGACTGCCCTAGCCTACATTAACTTTAATCCTCATTCAGTGAGAATTAGTTCATTTGGACTGGAGTCAGTTTTAATTCAGACTACAGATGTTCACATGTGTATAGTGATGGCTGTAGTCCAGATTAAACCTAGAAAAACATAACATCTATAAACGTCCTCCATGTCTAGCCAGTGAAGAATTATTCGGAATCAATGTTTCCCCTCAGATTGTTTTGTTCTATATCTTTCATAAGTCCATGTTAACTTTTCTTTCCTGTTATGAGGTTTATCTTTGCCAAATAGTTTCTATATTTTTCTCTCTTTGGGTGCTAGTGGTAAATAATGTACTTTCCTTTCCTCCTTTTTCCCCCTCCTTTTATTTTTCCCAGCCAGAGGTGGTTGTACCTGTCACTGTGACTTCCCCTAAGCTCTTCCATCTAGTACTCCGTTATGTCAGCCGGGGTTCAAAAAGCTCTAAAGGGAGGATCTCAGTTGCTGAGGGAAAACATTTTGACACTAATTATACTTGTAAGTGAATTAATTTTCTTGTTAGGCTTGCCTGTCTTCCTCCCTCCTACACCAGCATTGTTGTTTCTCTCTATATTTATCTGCATGTGTGCGCATTTGTGAGTGTTTATTTCATTTAGGAATTTAGTGGAACGCTTGCATGGCTTCTAACTGTTTGTCTATTCAGCTTTTTATGGCTGTTTCTGTTTATTAACTTCCATTTTACAGAAGGAAGTGAGAATAATTTTGAATGTGGAAAAATCAAACCTCTACTTATTTCGCATTATCCTAAGATACATTAACCCTGGAACTGAAATGGCATCTGGCTGCATAACTGCTTATCAATTTCGGCCTGAAACAGGTAGGTGCAACTTAGCAGCACAACAGAACAGAGGAATATAAAGCCCAGGGAATGTTCAGCCAAGTTAATAATAACGTCATTTTAAATGTATGCATTTAATAACAACAAGTGCTGTGTGTGTTTCCTAGCATAATTCACTGTAACTAATGCTTCCCAAGTTTGCATGATTGCCATTGATTTCACTAGCAGTAAATGTTTGTTTTTTATATATCTGTTTTACCAATTTTTTTCAGTACTGAGGAAGGTAGCTTAGAATGGCATTTTTTGTGATGCTTTCAATGAATTTTAACAGGATTTATTCTTAGTTGCTATGATTCTGAAAATGATTTTTTTACTCAGAAATGGCATCTGTCTTGAATCAGTGAATAGTATTTGTTTAATGATAGACTTGATCCACAAAGATTGGGTCCAATTACAGACCCCTAACACATTTAGAATTTTGGTTCAATATATTATGGAGTTAAAGGACTCCAGATCCTGTGTGTTTTTGGGTGAGGGGCATAAGGATAGATCTAATTTAGAGGATTGGCTTAGATCAGGGGTGGGCAATTATTTTGGGCGGGGGGCCGATTACCCAGTTTTGGCAAGCTGTCGAGGGCCACATGGGTAGGCCCGCCCCTTGACAGGTGCCCCGCCCCCTGGTCACAATCTTGGGACCAATCTCCCAGTATCTTGGGACCAAAGTCTCAGGGCCAGCACCAGTGGAGCTCAGAGTGGGGCACAGCCTGCCAGGGGTCTGTGGAGCCAGGCTGGACTGCACCAGCAGGGAGAGGGGAGCTAGCCCAGCTCCATAGAGCCCCTTCCAGCCGGGACCCCTAAACTCCTGCCGCCCTACTCTGGGCCCCGCTGGCACTGGCCCTGGGACACTGGTTTGGGCCCCCTGAACCTGCTCAGTCCGAGTGCCCCCCAGCCCCATGGTACCGGGGTGGGGGGGTAGCATGCAGCCCTGACCCCCTGCTTCCCAGCAGGGAATGAGCTGGTGCTTTGTGCGGGGCAAAAGCAGCCCCTCCCCCACCCCATGGCCAGTGCTCCCTGCTGTAGCCTCTCACAGCCCATGTGGGGCTGTCCTGAGCAGGCACCGGCCCCCCCACCAGGACTGC